AGTCGCCTAATCGGGTGAAAAAGTTGGATGGCATCCGATTAGCCGACAAAAAATCGCTTAAAATAAATCGCTTATTTTAAACAAAAAATCGCTTATATTGCAGAAGAAGTTGGTGACTGCCAAATAAGCGATACAAAATCGCATAAATATAACAAAAAAAAGCTTATTTTGCAGCAAAAATGTACAGCTTCCAGGTAAGCGACGGTATTTTTAACAAAAATGTTGCTTATTTGACAGTAGAAATTTAAATCTTCCTAATAAGTGACGACAAAAAATCGCTTTTTTTTAACAAAATTCCTCCCTCCTTTCTTCCCTCTACCTCATTCCCTCCCTGTACTTATAAGATCTTAGAATCCCTAGGATGCTTAAATTTCACTCGAGTCGAGTGTTTTGTTATTGAATTTTTTTAAATACACTTTTTTCTTATGTAGAGGGTTACCGCTTGTCCCCCGACATAATCGAATTTTCGAAATCTTACTTACTTCAACCTGACATGATGTTGTGTGATGTTTGATTTGAAGATTTTTTTTTTAATCTAAACTATTTAGCAAACTGTTTTTAACGTTTAACAAATAATTTGCAAAATAGAACAAATCTTCAAACTTTAAATCTTGATTTTCCGCTAATTTCTGCGACAGCTTCGTTATTTTCGTACATTCAAATAGATCACAATTAGACGCAATTAGAAATGAACAGGTTAACTGAGCACATGCTATGTTCGTAAGCTAACTAAATGTAAAATGAGGATCGGGAATGAGCAATAAAGCTAACCCATAAGCTGATTCATAAACCAAACCGGAGGTTTTGAGTACCTGCTTGAAAATATACAATTTTAAATCGCTTATCAGGCGACTTTCTGTCGTCCTAAATGAAGTTATTTCTAATTCAAAGATTATGATTTAAAACCGTTTAAAATGCTACTAATAATCGTTTATTAGACAACTTTTTGTCCTTTTTCACATTTGAGTTTTAAGACAACTTAAAGAGGCAAATTAGGCAACTTTTAGTCATCTATTATGAAGGGTTTTTTTACTTCACAAATAATGAATTAAATTTTTCAAATACAACTACAAATCGTTTATCAAGCGACTTTTTGTCCTTAATTTCACTTTTTCAGTTTTAAATTAAGAATGTTAGGATCCTCTTAATTTTGATGCGTACCCTGCCCTATAAAAATGGATCCAGATCAGGCCATGGCATTTATTAAATTTTACTGATTTTTTGGTACTAATGAAAAATCACATTTAACCCTATCTCGACTGGGCTATTTTATCTAATTTAGATATCCCAAGTCCAACTTTCAAAGGCCTCTAACTTTAACAGTTA